GTTGAGTTTCCTTCTCTCAAGTAGTTGGGGGGCAGTGGTTAAAGCCCCCCCAGGGCAGGGAAAGGCCCCCCCCGTTTGGTGCCTGTCCTCGCAGGATGCCCTGGCAGCGGCTCTGTGGTCTCTTGTGATGGGAGGCAGGGGGCAGTGGCTAAGGCCCCCCCAGGGCAGGGAAAGGCCCCCCCCGTTTGGTGCCTGTCCTCGCAGGATGCCCTGGCAGCGGCTCTGTGGTCTCTTGTGATGGGAGGCAGCGTGGGAGGGATGCCGCAGCGTGGGAGATAGTTCTGCCCGGCCGACTTATCCACTAGGCACAGTGCCTGGGGCCCGCGGACACGTTTACATTTCTTTTAAAATCAGGAGGGAAAAAAAATTGAACTTTTAGGGTCGAAGAAAATGTTTTAATTTTTTTCTCACGTCAGAAAAAAATGGAAGGTTTAGGGCCCATGCAAATCTATTACCTTTTGCCTAAAACAGAAAATAAAATGTTCAAGTATTTAAAGTTATATATTTAATGGAGGAAGGGGCCCACGGAGGCAAAATTGCCTAGGGCCCACAAAAGTCATAATATGGCCCTTCCTGAAAGGAACCGTGAGCGGAGAGATCAGCCACTGGGACTTGCCTTGAAAGTCCCAGCCTGTTCCTGCTACTGGCAGGGACAAAGTACCTTTGCCTTGGAAAGGCCGGGTGATGAATTATTTCTGTGACATCGGTGTCACTTGCAAACTGCCCTGCCTTGTCGCTGCTGCAGTGATCCAGGTGTAGTTCTGCAGCCAGGGTTCCTTCACAAAGGAAGAAAAAAAAAACGGGTTATGTTGCTGCAGTGTCCAAAGATCAGACCCAGGGCCTGGTCTGATTGCTCTAGGCCAGTGTTTCTCAACCTTTTTTTATATAAAGTACCCTTTAAAAAAATTATAAGTACCCCCAATACCTACAGTTTTCAGACTCACAACATTTGTTTCTACTATTGCAAGACATTTGTTTAAACAACTTAATGGGCAGCTCCTTAGAAACCAGCGAGCGATGAGCTTACGTTCTGGCTGATGCTGAAGAGGCCTTCAGGATCCTGGGCCTCTTCTCCTCCCAAAGGGCGCGTCTCCTGTTGGTGCTGACCCGTGGTAACCTCTGCACATCCCTCCTGCCCTAAAAGAAACGTGTCACTAGGATTCCACGGTTGTTGGGCGTTGGCACTGTTGGAAGATGAGATGTTAGGAGATCAGCAGTTGCCTTAAGAGAGGAAGACCAGTCTGGCACTAGACTAGCACTTAAGAAATGTAGACTCCATTCCAGATGTTGTTGTGTACCTTAGGCGAGTCCTTTCGCTCACACCCAGAAGCTGAGGTAGATTCTTCAAGGCTGTGTCTAGACGACACCTCCCTGTCGGCAGAGAGATGTAGATTAGGCACGTCGAAATTGCTAATGAAGCAGGGATTTAAATATCCCGTGCTTCATTAGCATAAACATAGCTGCTGCTTTTTGTTTGTTTGTTACATGGAGCTTTTTCGGAAAAAACCCTGGCAGTCTAGACGGGGATCTGTTGAAAAATAAACCCTTTTCCGACAGATCCTGTAAACCTCATTTTTTGAGGAATACAGGATCTGTCAAAAAAGGGTTTATTTTTCAAGAGCTTCCCGTCTAGACTGCTGTTTTTTTTTAAAAAGCGCCGTATTAGAAAAAAGCGGTGGCCATTTTTATGCTAATGAAGTGCAGGATATTTAAATCCCTGCTTCATTAGCAATTTCAACATGCCTAATCTACGTCTCTCTCTGTCATCTGCCTAGATGTACCTCAAGTGAGTTTAAGATCAGCTGAGTCAGGCCCTTACTGTCTCTGGTACCTTCCTTCCTGGTTGTAAAAGAGGGATAACTTCGTCCTCTGTCTGGTTGGTCTTATTTAGATTGGAATCTCTTTGGGGTTGGGGCTGTGCCTCGCTATAGATTAGGACAATGCCTAACACAACAGAATTCCCAGCCTCTGTGGAGGTCTCAAGACCCTGCTGTAACAAAAGCAAAAATAATTGTTTTAGAGACAGGGGCTGAGCCAGCCCCACCATGAACTTTGAAATCTAGACCTAAATCTTGTGATTTGAGGCAGGCTCTAGTGCTTATCTCATAAATTGGCATTACGAGATAAGCACTAGAGTCTTCCTGGAGGCACAGTTCTCTTATTTGCTGTCCTTTTAACCATTTCAGACCAGGGAGCCTCACACAGTAGTCTCAGTTGAACGCTGCTTCTTCACAACACTGCCCTTTGTTTTTGTAATGACGTGCTTCCCCAGCATGCATTCCCAGAGTTAGTCTCGGCCCCCTTTGAGCGCAAATGCTGTAACAAGTAAGTGCAAAACAAAGAGGATGTTTTAAAACCAGGATCTATATTTACCACACATAACAAATGAACATTTTCAAGCAAGCCTCTGCACAGACATGTGGCTTGGATGCCGGGGACAGGGCTGTGATCCCAGGCTGGCTACTCACAGATCTGCTGGGGTTCTCGTAGTTTTAAATCCAGAGCTTTGTCTAAACTCGCGGCTTCTTGCGCAAGTACAGTCGTTCTTGCGCAAGAATCTGCAGTGTCTCCACACTGCCCACCCGCTCTTGCACAAGGAAATTTACAGTACGGCGTGATAAGAGAGGGCTCCTTGCGCAAGAGCTACGCTCTTTTTTGACAGGTGTAAGCCGTCTTGCGCAAGAGGGCAGTGTGAATGCTCAGGAGGGATTTCTTGCGCAAGAAAGCCCTATGGCTAAAATGGCCACCAGAGCTTTCTTGTGCAAGAAAGCGTCGACACTGCCATGGGCGCTCTTGCACAAAAGCACAGCGCGCACATGGCCGTGTGGACGTTTTGTTGTGCAAAACTTCTTGCACAAGAACACGTGTGCAAGATGTTCTTGTGCAAGATGCCGCGAGTGTAGACATAGCCCTAGAGTCTTGCTGGAGGTCTTCCATCATGATGGGGGAGGGGGGGGGTTCCTCCTTCGGGAACGAGTTGAAAAGTCCCTCTGCTAAACAAGTGGATTATGGGAGTGTGATGACCAGGCCCCATAGCTCCTGCCACACTTTGCCCCAGAAAAAGACCATAGGAGAGAGCAAAGGGGTCCAGCGATTCAAAAGGGTGGATCCTTGGGCCCTTTAAATCATTGCAGGCATGCCATGTGG